CCCCCCCCTTCCTCGCCCGAATAAAACCAAAAATAATCGATTTCAAAATTCAACAAAAGGGGCAGAATGGGTTCGTGAGCAATTTCCCGGATTGACTCCCCTCCCTGCCGCTCCCTCTCGCTCATTGAATGATGGGGCAAAACGGGTTTGTTTATCGTTTTCCGACTTGACATCCCTCCACTCGCTCATTCAGAAAATAAATAACAAATGGGGCGAAATGGGTCTGTGAGCTATTTCCCGCTTGACTCCCCCCCCCCTCCTCCCCGCCACCCACAATAATGTATTGCGAAATTTTCCAAATGGGGCAAAATGGGTTGGTGCTAATATTCCAAATCAACCCCCCTACCCCCCAAACCTATCTAATATTCATAAGTGAAATAGAATAAAACATATGCCTGCGACTGCTGACAGTTTCCCGCCGACTCGATAATTTAACACTGGTGCCATCTCACGGCATTCTACCATCTGAACTTCTTTACCACATAGCACACCATCAATAATTTCTCCTAATTATACAAAATAACCTATCAATGGGTATTAATTGGGACCAATTGTTCGTCTATCAGCATTTAAATAATTTTTTGATTATATTTTAATCATTTTTGGCCCATTTTTCACCTTAAAATGACATCCATGCACATCCATGCTACATCCATGCTACAACGTGGATCCTTATTCGCCAGGGGCCGTTAATTTCCCTGGAGTAATATTTTAAATTTATTAGTCACTGGACATTCTTACACGCTATATTTTATTTCAGTTTTCATCTCACTTGATACGTATTAAGGTTCATAATGTATGCAGTAATGATAGTCATCGAACAAATGCTTCACACATAATGATTTTTTACACCAAGAACATCTGACAATTGCTAAATCCAAACAACCGTCTACTTCACAGTGAACATTGGAATTTTTTTTAAATCTGAATTCAACCGGGTTGTCAAAATCTTCGGATTTTTCGCTGATGTAACCACTTTTATACCATGAGAATTTAAACGTTCGTTTGAAATTTTTCACCCAATGTGAGGATGCTTCGAAATGAATATCCTCATGCCCAATATCTTTCTGGGCTTGCAAAGTCCATCTTTGCAAATGTATGTCATGTATAATGTGTCCCGCTTCAACGAAGCTTTTAAAATTTTCTAAAACGAACTGGCAAATGCGGCTTATTTTTTCTCTGTAAGTTCCTCCCTTATTCAGTGTATGAGCCCAACGCTTCAATTGAGTTACTGATTTGACTTTGCGAAGTCGATTTTGAACCGATTTTTTTATTGTCCGCTCCTCCAGAATTCCACGGCTTTTGCTTTATAATCACGAGTCAATCCTTCTGAATCAATTGAACATTGATCGTCATTATCATCAAAACCCCATATCTTGTCATTATCCTCTACTATTTCCATTGGTACATCCTTATAAGGCTCCTGGAATGCAAGTGTCTCTTCTTCAACAATGTCTACACCATTGAATTCATTCATGGCATCGAGTAGAATTTGTTCTGGTTTTCATTTTAATTCTATCTCTTATTGTACTCAATACCCCTAGCTGATGTTATCTGATGATTGTCGATGTACCGTCGTAAAAGATCTTCCGATCCCTTTATCGTGTCACAGGTTGTCGTGGCTAGATTTGAATCCTAATGGCATAATGACGTGATGAAAATGCTCAAATAAATGCTTGATAATGTCATTTTGCCCCTTTTTTCTTGGTTATCCCCGCCGTTCCAATTTGCTCCATTTTGCCTTATGAGTTCCACATGTATCATAAACTGAACTTACCAAGCAACCGATATATTCTTCTCTATTGACTGCACTACGCCACAATAGTATTCGTGATGATGAGAATCCGCTTCGCTTTAGCCCGTTCCGATAGGCACGAATACTCGGCAATGTATGTATTTTGTTATGGTAAGACTACTTATAGCCCGATAGTCCTGTCAGTTGGGGTCAATATGTCAGTTATTAAAATAAATTTTCTTGCGTTATACTAGTAATATGGGAATTGGAAAAAAAATTCAATAAAAAACAAACTCACGCGTTGGTACTCGATTCTTCTTTTTTCCATGCATTCTCAATATTTGAAATACTTGCATAAACATGAACAGTGAATTCGAATCGACCGATGAAGACACACCGCACGATGATTACAATATTTGAGGATGATCTTAACGACGAAATTCAAACTTTGAAAGCAATAATATATTAATTCCATTTCCTACTTGTTTGCAATCGTGTGATATAAAGTTCGTGCCTATGTGTAAATGAAAAGTCAAAGTTATCTTCATTTTGGATGGACAGTTTCAAGGAAGAATGGAAAAAATTGACCTAGTAAAATTTTTGATATGGGCACTTTGGTTAGATAATGGTTAAAACATCTTGAGTAATGATTAGATGATAACATCCAGAATATTTTATGTAGAATTATCATGCAAGTTTGCAAAACTTTGAGTTGACCATATTAAACCATTCCAATGGATGGTTTACCCTCTGAAAGGGTGGTCTGGCGAAAACCCAGAAACCCGTCGATTTAGTTCTTTGATTTCTTATCAAAGGCACCAATTTTCAATGAGATTCAGCCAAATTGAGAGTTTTTACACTGAAAAGATGTATGAAAAAACCTATTTTTGTTTAACAAATCATTCAAAAAGCCAATCCGGTAAATGACCCCTACATCCATAAAAGCCCCACCGAATAAGTAATTGAATGCAGAAAAAAAATTGAGAAAATATTGTGTAGTCTTCGAGAAATCGCGAAAAATAATTTTTTGGAGTGAACTTCAAACGCCATTTTCTGCCCTCTGTAACCGAATTAGCACGTAAAAAAAATACATGATCAATCATTTTTCATGTAGAATAACATATGTCAAGATGAAGAAAATCGGTGAGGTACACCTGGGGACGTTTCTTTGTAAGTTCATCACTTTTCTTGACCCGAAATAAAAATAATAAAAAAAATTGACCATAAATTATCACAAGTTTTTTTCTTAATTCGACAATGAATTAAATACTCGTTGATTGGATGTGGATTTTTTAAAAACTGTTCCTGGTGCAGGGTATAGTAGACACGGTAAAACTTTCTGTGTGTGGTATACAATAGACCAAAATTCTCATGTGTGGTGGAAACCATACGCACCATACACTTTCCGCTGGCTCTGTGACACCATATTAATTTCAATAATGTCACATTAACTAATGGTATGATTCCATGGAAGAACATCAAATATGAAAAAAAAACAATGAAATTGAAAAACATGCCATGATTATAGCATTAAAAAAATTGGTGTTAATATAGAGATGTTATCTCGCCACCCAAGCAGATAACGTACTGTTGAGGGGCATTGTACATTACGCATTATAAATCAAACAGTTACATGTACGTATCTATTATATCGATGATAGTCCACATGCAGGAAAAACTGCCTCTTATTTCCCCTACGAAAATCTATCTACAGATTTTTTTTTATTAAATTAATGCCATTTTTCTGATCTATCCTTTTTATTGCAGGAAAGAAAATGGCATCTCGGTTGAGACCGATAAAAATTACAGCAGTGGGCGATGGTATGGTAGGTAAGACCTGCCTCCTCATCACATATGTTGACAAAAAATTTCCCATGGAGTACGTACCCACTGTGTAAGTTAAATTACCCATTAAACCATTCACGTAACAATAAGAATACTTGTCTTTTTTCAACTCTCTTTCTCTGTCTGTCATAAAGAATTCCTTACGTGGAGTAGCGAAAAATTAGCACGCGCTAATGTCACGAATGAAATTACAGTATCTTTACTTTTGCCTCGTTGCACCAGGTTCGATAATTACTCAGATAATATTACTGTGGATGGACAGGAGTTCAATATGATACTGTGGGACACAGCTGGGCAGGAGGATTACGAGAGACTCCGACCACTTTCATATCCAAATGTGAGTTAATGTCAACTGGATTCATTCATACCATTTCTACGTTCATTTATTACTGTGCTAATGTTTCCATCGTTGCTTCAGACGGATTGCTTCCTATTGTGCTTCTCAATAAGTGCGAGAAGTTCCTTTGAAAACGTTGCTAGTAAATGGTATCCAGAAATTAAATTCCACTGTCCTAATGTTCCAATTGTTCTTGTGGGTAAGTAAATAGAATTAGTGAAAGAATTTTTTCCTATTTAAGAAACGGATTGAGGAAATCTTAGTTTTAAGGCTTTCGCGGTCATGATTAATGACATTATTGGCTTCCGGATGGATGCCGCGTTTGGTTTCAGCATTGCGCCGACGTTTCGCAAACATTGCAGTATGCATTTTCAGGGCTGTGAGCTCCGATTCTGAGCTCCAATGTCTGAGGATAGTCCTTTTATGCCTTCCCCTGTGATTGTGGGGGTAGAGGAAGGAAGAGGAGGGGGGGTCAGCCGATCATATGTTTTAATTGATCAGCTGATCAATTAAAACATATGATCTGGAGAAAATTCTTGGCTGTTCTAAAAAATTAGACGAAATTTGGGAAAATTTCCTGGGTCCATCCGTCTAATTCCATCTAATTTTTTTAGAACAGCCAAGAATTTTTTCCAGTTATCTCAAGAAACCTGCGGATTGCCGCGAAATATTTAGAGATACTGTAAATTTTGCTGAGCTTTCTAGAAAATCCACAAAACTACTGCGTCTTTTCTATATTACATACTGACCATGCATACGGTCATCGGAAGCTGTATTAGTTGAGTTGAATGTGTTGGGTCTTACTATTCAGTGTTTCCCGTAATGCTGATTCCAGCAATAGTTGTTCAGTCGATTTACGTAGTTCCATAAACTCAGACTCAGTCCTTTTCATGGTTCGCTGAATCATCATTTTGAATATTCAGGAGTCATTAATCCTCAGTTTTATTTAGTAGTAGTAGTAGTAGTAATTTGTTTATTTTGCATTTTTTTAAATTCAGAGATTCATAAATGCAGGGGTTCTGCGTGAGTACAAAAAGAAAAGTGTTAATGAAATTTGAAGCATAGTCAAGTTGGGATGCAAATACATTTTTGACAATAATAATAATTGAAGGCATGAAAAGTGTGAAAAGCGAGTCAAACGTACGATAAATACACTTGATGCAAAAAGCGAAATAAAAGCAAAATCTAATAATATAAATTGCGAGAATAATAAGAATAATAACATATTAATAAAGCAAAGCCTTAGCTAAACCATCAATCAATCTTTCAATCAGAAATAGAACAAGATTCCGAGGCAAAAACAATAAAAAGAAAAATGTCTTTCATACATCGAATGTCCTTGGAATTTAGTAAAGCGTTTAAATTTTGATGCAGCGAGAGATTTTTGTTGAACCAAGGCTGGATGTGGTGCTCCCGAATGCTGCTGAACAAGGAGCAGTTAAGTAAGACGTGATAGAAGGTATCCGACTCACCACGCAGACATCTCGAACATATTGAAACAGGGTTTTGATAGAATAACTTTTTTTTAAAATAAAGCGACCGGAGAAAACAGTTGACAGCCTCAGTTGCATTTTGATCCTGACGAGATGGATGGGGCAGCGTTCAGGGTAGAAGACAAGTGTCAAATGTAGAGGTGCCCCCCGGTACCCCTGTTGGTCCCACTGGACCCACAGTTTTATTTATTATAAAACCATTTGAAGAGTATTTCGTGTAAGCACACATTGAATGAGTCATGATCCAGAATTTTACAGTTAGGGAATAATCTACATTGCCGTAGTAAAATCTTTAGATTAAGCCTGATTTCGCAAGTACCATAAACCCCATCAATATTCATCTGAATATTCGATACTCTGAAGTAGATAGGCAGTGGCGGTTCAAAATCAAATGTGGGCGAGGGGGCGGGGGGAAGGGTGCGTGGGCGGGATTGTGGCAGTTGTCCACCGTCAATTGACCACATTTGCAGTTGACCACGATTTTCGTATTTTCTCAGTTCACCACAGAATGGGCAGAATTTCGGGTGGCCCCCGTCATTTGACCACACTCTATTTTACCGACAAACCTAGTTTTGTCTGCACATGTTAGATAGCGGATATATATCTGAATGTCATTGTGGATTTGTCTTCCGTTTCACCCTCCGTGTGGCATGAGGTTCTCAACTACTTTTCCAATAAGTGCTTTTAGTCAGAATTAACGTTAAAAGAATGAAAAAAAAAACGTCTAGTAGAGAAAAAATGTCAAGTTTTCAATGAAGCTTCGTAATTCGTTATAAAGGATTTGATATCGAATTCGCTGATTTGATCAATTAGTTAAATAGATTAATTCATTATTTATTCGACGACAGAAAATACTTTTAAACAAGTATAATTATATTTTATTTGAGAAATTTTGCATTATTTGGGTTGATTATATTTGAAATTGTGAATCATTCCAAAATTTGAAAAATGTTAGATTTTCCGTTTAACATGAAAATTCTCAATTGTTTTTTTCTGTAATAAAGGACGATTAAAAACCGTTTTTTTTTAAATATATATATATATATATATATATTTTTTTTTTTAAAACATATATAAACCCTCAAACATTGTTAATTCGTAATATACAACTCTTTCGCCAGGAATCTGTAGAAAATGTTGTTAGTTATTCTCCAATTTTATTTGACGATTCCGAAATTTCTTTGCATTTTTTTTTCCAATGGGCATGGGGCAGGTTGTGAACATTATAGGTTTACTCGCGTTTGACTGAAGATTTATTCAACCGAGCTTGGTGGAATCGGCCCATGTTCAATAAAAAACATATTTTATAGATAAAATCAAAATATTTTCATTTTTATAGACAAATCATTCTACTAAGGGCCGGTTGCATCAAGCCTAGTTAGCTATTCAAATTATCGGCAAAATTTGTGTCAATGTAATCCTTATTCCTCGGCTCAAATTTTCGTTTGATTTTCCTCAAGATCGAAGAATTTCTATTGAGAATGCTTCAATGGAAAAAGTTATATAGCAAAATCAAATTCTAAAGATATTTTCTATAGAATGGTTGCCATTCCACATAAACTGTTAACTAGATTCTATTCTACAGAAATTCTCCTGTTGAGATCTTTTTTAGGAGAAATCGTGAGTAGGAATTCTGTAAGATTTTTTTCCAATTTTGGGAAGAAAAATTGGAAATAGTCGCAATTCGAATAAGTCGCAATACAATGAGAGTGAGATTTCTCATACTTCAAAGACTGATTGAACATGTATAAAATCGAAGAATCAATGCAATATAATGATTGTTTATTATTAGTTCCCCCACAGCCGGTTGAATGGTTGCAAACCGTCCCGTGTCCTCAATTTTTCAGCTACAGGAGTTTTTCCTTCTGAATTTTCCTACTTATACGTAAAATAACAATTACGAATTATTTTTTCCCACTTAGATTTCCAAGAGGTGATTGCACCAAGCCCAGTTAGCTATTTAAATCATTGGATAAAATTATTCCAATGTAATCCTTATGGGTTAACTGGCCTTTGCCTGGAGATTTATTTAGCCGAGCTTGGTGCAACCGGCCCTAAGTAGCCAATTTTGAATTTCTTTATTTACCCAACTGACTTTATCAGTCTTTTATTCTTTTTTGAGTAATATATTTACTGACGATTTTGAATAAATAGTACAGTTTTTTATTTGAACAAAAACGAAATTGGCTATAGGTCGAATAAAGAAAAATAATTCGTTATTGTTATTCTATATCATTTTTGAAAATTACTGAAAAAAATCTCTGTAGCTCAAAAATTGAGGGCATTTAGCTATTACATATGAACTGAGTTACATTTTCGAACAACAAAAGTTAATTTCTGTTTGAAAATTTACAACGTATGGTCAAGCAAAGAATGTATTAGAAGTTTTTTCCGACCTTCTTTCTTCTCGTGATCTCGAATGCATTCCCTTTCTTTTCCTTTCATGTTTACGATTAAATTTACTGCCCGGCACAGTTTCGAGTTATTTCATATCCATTTTTTTCCTTTCATGGACATTTTGGATGATTTAGGAGAACAGGAACATATTATTGAACTTATAACAAGATTTTTCATGAAAAATATATGATCTATTATTCATTTTCGTTGATATAAAAATAGGAATTTACAATAGTTTTTGGCATTAGAATTCTTACCGTGGAACTAATATTTGTTTCCGTCGTCTACAGTGATTTCCAGATTGAGAGCCTCCATCTTCAAATCGTTTCATACTTGACGCCTTCGCTTCATCGACTTTTCTCCTTTTACTGTTCCTGTCCGTTATTTCTTCCTGATGTTGCTCAAACTCATAGATTTCTCTTGCTCTCTTATTGTCATAAGGGAAGGAAACTTCTGGAAATTCCTCCATACCTGGAGCTGAAAAAGAACGATTTTTTTACTCTTGATATCCTGCGTAATATTGGTCATTCCGAATAATGATTCATTATTCAATTACGAAAACATCATGAGATGCTATTGACTATTCTTACCAATTGATTTACTTTGAAAATTCGACTGACTTTGAAAAGTCATGGATCCGTCCCAAAGGTCTGAGTTTCTCAAATAATTCACACCAATTGGTGACAGATCGACCGCGAGTGATGCTTCCGAATTGATCTGCATAATCTCCAGACTGAAGGCACGTCGGACGGGTCTCTTTTTGTTTCAGAGCTGATTTCCTCTTTCGTTTTTCCCCTTTCTGATTGAGAAATGTACTCTGTCTGCCCATCTGTCTCTTGATTCCCCTGCTTTTCCATTTATGACGGAATGGGGTCGCTCCATATTCCTCAACTTCTGGAACTAGGAAGAAATAATATAGGCAATAGGTCTTCTATTTGATCATCTCACGTGTAACAGCATCAAGTTCATTGGAATTACCTGATTGTACACACGCAAATGGGGTGACTACTTTACTTTTACCATGATTTGCCACAGCTTGACGTAATACGACGAATAGCTCTTTTTTACTATCAACAGACGCTTCCAATTCGGGACTATTGCTGCTGGAGATACTAACTGGAGATATTGTTGAAAAAGTTGGAGGAGGTGATTCTATGGAAAAGTTGGAAATAATCCTGAGAGTCTATTTAATGATAACAATCATACAACTCGTAGTTTACCTGGTTCCAAGTTGCCTGGATACAATAAAGTTTCATTGTTAGCAAGTTTACGAACCCCCGTAACTGAAATTTTTTCTGATATAAGCTCC